TGTTGTTGTTTTTTCTTTCTAAAAGTCCATGGGGGCATGTGATTTCCTTCCAAATAAAACCTTGAGTTGCATTTGGGTTGCCATACCTGTTCATTGACTTATATTACATTGGTATGCCTGTTGTGCGGACGGACGATCGCTCGCTCGGTGTACGATCACGTGATTACCATTTTCTCGGATGGGTAGATTACCACATTTCCTTAGCTATGGGGCTCCGCCCACGCGTGGAGCTCCGCTATAAACGGCTTGTGGTGAATTCATTTCCAGCATACGCGTACAGCGTCCAATTAGCCTCTTAGAAGTTTTTTGTTGTTGTTGTTCTTCAAAGCTCAAAAACTTCCTTAAAGAAGTATACAATAAACTTTCTTCCTTCAATTGTCTGCATAAATTGAAAGGTTTACATGCATGCTAGTATAATCTTCAAATTTAAACGCGCTTGATAGATATTAGCGACTTTTAAGATTCGCTATGGCATAGCTCTACTACGGCTGTTGTAACCGGGAAGGGCAGTGGCGACTACGCGGTCTCCCGCCAAAACTCAAAATGGTTAAGTTACGCTCGATACGGCAACGTCACAACCGACACAAAATGTAAACAAGCTCTGACGACAGGACTAGTTTTCGCGGCTAGGTTTTGGTTTATTTCTCTGCAATGGTTTCCTTTAAAGAAATAACAGACCTTGCTGTGCTTTCTTATCGCATGAATTTTATAAATGATGCTGAATTTCTTTTGTTATATAATTCGTATAGCTCAGAAAACCTTTATTTGCCATATCATTTGTATCCCGAGTTCGACCTTCAAAATTTCAACGAAGATAAATGTCTGCTAGAATTTCGTTTCAAGAAAACTGACATCCCAAGCCTTTCACGGGCTTTACTAATCCCTGATGTTATAGTATGCCACCAAAGAACGATTTGCGACGGGATTGAACATTTAGTCTAATTCTGTCGGGATTGAACTAAATGTTACCTAACTTTAATACATTTAAATGAGCGTTCGCTCGCTCTAGCGCCGTTAATTTAAAAATTATATTCTCAAAAAGCGAAACAAGTTGTTAAAAACATCCCTGGCAGATAAACCAAAAGATAACAATATTTTTTTAATAGGTGCTCGTGAAATTAAGACTTGACAATCACTTATTGAAATTAAAACTTCTATAAGCTTAAATAAGCTGTCTTACGAAGCTTTCTTGTCTGCAGCCATGATTAGAAGGTGCCCAAATCCTTTTAGTTTTCGCTTAAATAACGAAGCAATAATGAATATCTAAGTATGACTAAGTACTTAGTCTTTGAAGTAGGCTTCTCAGAAAAGCGAAATAAGCTTTAAAATGGCAAAGAAATGACAGTTAATACTCACGTAGTGAAGAGTACGGAAAAGAAGGCAATTTGACGTAGCAGAAAACGAGGCTACGGCGGGAAAGCTGTCCTGCATCTCGCGTGGTGACGTCACCGGAAATGATTTTGACCTTATGTAGCCGTAGTAGCCTCTTGCCGTAGCGAATCTTAAAGTCCCTATCATTGCTCTTAGAACAGCTGCAGCATGCACGAAAGAGCTTTTGTTCTGAACAGTATATCAAGTTGCTTGATCAGGATTTGTGCTGGGGCCTCGTAATTTTAAGCATAAGGATTTGTCTTCAAATAACACTTAGTGCGACATTATATACCTTTGGCCCACGAAATCAAGATGGAGAAAATTATAAAATTCGTTGCGAAGTACGGACTGAAGTGTACGCGGCATAAACAAATGAAAGAAATGCACCAATCACCGACTGCGGTAGTGCTACTGATTGTCCGGCACTACAATATTAACACCATCTCCTGATGAACACCTGCAAAACGCGGTCGAAACGTTGAGATCGATATTAAGAGAATAACCATCAACAAGACAAACAATAAAGACGGCCTATTAAAACTCTTTTTATTCTTAAATCGCGTTATTTTAAAATATTCGTCAAAAGTTACGATCAGCAATATTATCTTAGAACATTTTTATGTCGCTGGACGTATTAAATACAAATATTATTTCTTTACTGCTTGTCTAATAAAGACCAATAGAACGACAAGTTTCCACCTTGTGAAGAAAAAAGTTTTTGTGAGAAGGCGAAACATTTTTTATAGGTAGGAACAGGTTTCGCAAGTGCGGGTATTCTAAACCAAGATAAAAATACAAGTCAAGTATCACTCGGTCTGTGCTTTAAGGATCTCTCGGAAGTTTCATGGATAAAAGACTAGCGGTATTTTTTTTAGAAAAAAATGTGGGACCACACTGTTCGTTTAATTGCACTTACAACAAAAATTTCCTTGGAGGAGTTGATGTTTTCACTGATGTTCTCTGAGTGCAGCTATTAACCTATTTATTGACAAGAGATCTAGACAAACCAAAAACGCTTGTCAGTCACTATCATGATCATGATATCATGAGCACTCTGAATGCTAAGTCGTGAATAGAGTTCGGACACTGATATTTTAGTTGATACCACCCCCCCCCCCGCCCTGCGAGCACAGGCCCTTCGATCTTCTAGATAAGTCGGGATTTATCTAGGCAAATCGAAGGGCCTCTGCTCGCAGGGTAATTGGTTAAAGGCACCGCTATCAAATCAAGACCTTTCTTTCTTCAGCAATCGACGGCCACTTACAGAAACGTTTTTCAAGCAGCCAATCACGAGTTATTGAAACTAGCTGCTACTAATAACTCGGATCGAAAAGGTGCTTTTTTGGTACCACGAAATTTAGACGAGCCCGTCTTCTGCCACTCGATGCACAAAATTTTTTTTATAATTACTAGTATGTTTGTTTTTGAAGAGCCAACGACTGAGATGGCAAAATTAAATCTTTTGTGCTTTCTGTTCTTTGAAGATTTTTTAAAGGCAATAACCGATATTTCAGATATTGAACTAAACCTTTTTTTCAACTGACAATTGCAACAAAAACGAGTTGATATCATGTCTGTTATTTAATTTGTTTTATCACACTACGCCCACTATACTGAAACAAAAAGACGCGCATAGGCCTCGCTCACTATGTCAGTGCTCAACAGCGACCATTCGAAGACTGAGTCCGAGTGCCTCTGTCAGTAAAGAATTGCAATTTGTTCATGTTCTTAATTACTCAAACTAGAAAATTTACCTTGTACAACTTACCTTTCTTAATTCTTAATTCACCATATAATCAGTCTTAAGTAAGTTAAAAAGATTCCTCTCCAGGGTACATGGAAATAAGGTGTCGATTTATTTATTCTGGGTGGTTACGGATATAGGGCTGGGGCTGGCGAATTTATGGATCACTTCGCTCAACACCTTTGGACGATTTGCCAAGAATCGTTGCTTTAGCTTCCCCATCTCTGTTTTTATTTTATTGCGCACAGAGAGGTTTTGGATAGACTGCTCAGTTAGAAGTTGACAGTCAGTACACCTATTTAATATGAAGGATTTGAAAACTGTCCCTTAGAAATATTTAGCTCTTCTAAAAACCTAATGGAAATTGCTTGATTTTCGTTGACTCAGAGGAGAGAACTTGAAAGCCATTTACGAGGTAAAGTGACGTCCGACAACATGACCGATCAATGTTTACGTTTAATACTTAGGAGCGAACTAATTCAGTTTACTCTTGTCGATTATCAGAACTGAAGGATGGAGGAACTGCTTTTAATTATATTTCTCCAGAAAAAAATGGCTCAAACAAATATGTAATGATCAGAGTAACTCCTTCTTCATTTTCAAATCACGGAGCACAGTCAAAAACCAAACGTCACTTCGCACATGCTCCCTACAGTTCTGAAATGACTGACAGATTTCTTAACTGACCCAATCAGGCCAATCATATCATGTAATAACCCAGAATCAGAATTGATGAATATAAAATTATCTCTCTGTGCAAATTTGGTACGCACATCTAAGCAAAACTCCAACGCCTCCTCCAGATCCATGAGGTCAATAATTTTACACTCTAAAATATCTGGTCCTGATTAGTCTGCTCTTGGAATATTTAAAAAAAAAGATACGTGAATCATTCAAGTAATTGAAACTCACGCATTGCAGTTAAGAAGATCTAATAAAAGTCGTCACTGGCAATTAAGTATAGAAGGAACTCTCAAGTAAAAAAAAAACAGTAAATAAATAAGTAAAATAGAAGGAGTAGCTGCGCAAAGAAGACAGATCAGGAGCAAGGCAGACTTTTATAATTATCATTGCATTATATTATAATTAGAATTCTGCGGCATAAGAGCCTGGGGCGAGAGACGAATACATTTTTGCGTAGCCGAGAAAAGAAAAGCGTAGAACGTGATAGAGTTAGAAGAACCGGATGGCAAATATCAATAATACAGATATCGAAAGAAAACCCTGAATTTCGTTAAAGTTTTCCAGTTGGATCCAACCTTGATAGCTCATTGTTATCATTCGTATTATTATTATCATCATCATTATCATATTTATCATCATGACATCATTATTATTATTTTGGTGAATAAAAAAATCAAATACCTAATTTCATACAACGTGGTTATAGTCTATTGTTCTCTTTTTCAGGAGATGAAACTAGTTCTACATAAACCCGCAGCAGAAAAAATGCTGCCGATTGCATTGTTCCTGTGTTTCGCAGCCCTGACAGTTCATAGTGAGAATTCCGATATTCCTGGTACTTTGCATGAAATATACTTACTACTGTTACGTGTTCACAATAAGACTTAAAATTAGATCAGCTAATTTTTAATTTACAACCACGTTAAGGCGATCATGTTGGGTGACGGGTTGTTGACAAAAGGGGGACTTTGCATGAAGAAAAAGAGTTTAAGTAATGATCCGGGTAAGGTGGATAGCAATTTCTTTTGTTATGCGGCAACGGTGCTTTCCCCACATAGGAATGTTCTCATTTTTACACAGAGAATGCATAAACCTACATGAAGGCCGTTTACGCAATAAAATGCATTTACACTCCACTTTAACAAGAGCATTCATTTGTCTTCTCTAACCAGCCACGAACTCGTCACCAACTGTGTTCCATCAGCGGACAACATCAGGCAAATGGTGCAGTATTCCATTTAAATACAAGCATGTGACCTACAAGTCTTGCACTACTGCTGATTGGCACAGACCATGGTGCTCCTTGGATCCTGTGTATAAGGGAAGATGGGGCAACTGCCGTGAGTTTTAAATTGACTTAGCTAAAGCATCTTTAGTGTGTATTTCAAAGTTACATTTTTTATCACTATACCAAGAGCATTGTCTTTTCTTTGATAACGTTACCAGTCACCACAACTGTTTGCCCTCAGAAGACAACATCAGGCAAATGTTGCACTATTCCATTTAAATACAAGGCAGTGACCTACAATTCTTGTACTTATGCTGATTACAACAGACCTTGGTGGTCCTTGGATCCTGTGTACAAAGGGCGTTGGCGAATCTGCCGTCAGTATAAATTGACTTAGCTAAAGCATCTTTAATGATATTATCAGTACATAAAGACGGCTATTTTCTCTCCCCATCAGTTTGCTTTGCAAAGACAACATCAGGCAAATGTTGCAGTATTCCATTTAAATACAAGCATGTGACCTACAACTCTTGCACTACTGCTGATTGGCACAGACCATGGTGCTCCTTGGATCCTGTGTATAAGGGAAGATGGGGCAACTGCCGTGAGTTTTAAATTGACATAGCTAAAGCATCTTTAGTGTGTATTTCAAAGTTACATTTTTTTATCATTATACCAAGAGCATTCTGTCTTTTCTTTGATAACGTTACCAGTCACCACAACTGTTTGCCCTCAGAAGACAACATCAGGCAAATGTTGCACTATTCCATTTAAATACAAGCACGTGACCTACAACTCTTGCACTACTGCTGATTGGCACAGACCTTGGTGCTCCTTGGATCCTGTGTACAAAGGACGTTGGGGAAACTGCCGTGAGTTTTAGATTGGCACTATTAACGCATTCTTTAGTGTCTATTCATTAATGTGATGTTATCATTATATATCAAGACCTTAAAATCAACCATTAATTAAGTAGAAATAACATTGTGAACGGTTTGAACCCAAGAGTCATTTCATAAATTAAGTGGAATAAGATCGTCCAGGTCAGTGTAGTCCTGGATAGGACTGTTGTTGACAGTGACTGACGTTTCGACAACTTGTACGATAGTCATCTTCAGAGTCAAAGTGAGTTGTATCACGTCAACTGATGGTATTACACTCTGGTTAATGACCCGATTGGTCAATTACTTCGCGATGTTATTGGTCGTCTGTCAGTTAAGTCATGATGTTATTTAACAAATTAATGAATGAGGCTGAATTATGGAGATCGCGGAGGGTGTTACAGCCTCGACGGATAACACCCTCCGAGATCTCCATAAATCTTCATATGATACGAAAGCCGAATTCAATAATTGTTTTATTATTTATTCAAAATAATTCCTAGTTTAAAGGCATGGCTAAACATGCTTACCTCCATCGATCCATCGAAGTTAAGTTCATCTTCGACAGTGCACGTTTAGCGTTGTTCAGCTCCGCAAATATTCTCCAAATAGCAGATGTCGCCCTTCGAGTCGTCTTCTGCTCTTTTTGCCATGTTATTAGCTATTTTTTTCGCCTAGTTCTTACTCTTGAAACGAGTGAAATGTCCACCATTTTTCAAGTTCACAACCAAAACAACTCAACCTCGTCCCCAGGTCTTCTCGGTTAACGGTGAATTAATCTATAGAAGGCTGCATTTTTGACGTCATTTCCTCGTTAAACACAAAATTCTTCCAAATTTGGTCATCAGTAACTGGTTATGGTGAATTATGCGTGTGCTTTTAGCCAATCAGAATTGGGGAAATATTTTGAATGAATACTAATGGCTATTTAACAATTATTCCTCGAGCCCGAATGGGCTCTAAGTCAATAGCCCATCAGGGCGAGAGGAACAATTGCTTTAGTAAAATCCAACTAGTTGGTCAAAAATATGGAGGCAAAACAACTTTAGCCAGCAAAACGCCGCCATTGTTTTGGTTTTCAAAGCCGGCGCTTTTCGCTACAAGTGGGCTGTAACATATAGCTAAGTAGTAGCTCGACCAATCAGAACGCAGCATTGATATAATAGACCACTAGTTGGATTTTACTAAAAGGCTTTAGATGTCATTGGTGCTTTTCTATCCGCACTTTGTCATCGTTTTCAGTTTGCTTGAGTCCGTCAATAAATTATTTGTACGGTGCCGGTAACCGTTGACTAAGATTCAGTGGCGTTTGTTCTAAGTACGTAAACCAGCTTTCTAAAGTGAGTCGTTGATAGTAGTCTGTAGCATACGTAATACATGTTGTAGAGTCCCAATTGATTTCATTTTTCGTCTGTAAGTGGTGCTCAGCAATGTAATTAATTGTTGTCATCACCATTTCTTGTAGCTCGTTTGCGTTATATCTGGTTCTTTCGGCTCTTGTAGATTTGCTCAGCTCTTTTGCTAGAAAAAAAAATTGCTATCAGGCTAATGTTCACAATAGCTGACAGCCATGACAGGCCTTATAAGATCTCTTTACCGCTCTTATCGATGCCATGCCACCAAAATTTGCTTGTTTCATTGCCTCATTGCTTCAATCCCAGGGTGACCGTCATGTGCCAGATCTAGCACGCGACAACGAATGAAGTAGCTTTGGTATCACAATTTGAGTTCCACGAAGAACAAGCATATCAGTCGCACATAATTCACTTCGCACAGCCAATGAATTCTATGCCATGCGAGTTCCTATTCAAGAGAAATTCTCGTACACACTTTTCAGCTCTCTGACGCTGTCTCTAAATTTTTTCAAATTGTCAGGCCAACAAGTTTCAATCCTTGAGAGAGCCAGCATTTTACATAGTCTTTTGCTTTGGTGTTTGTCTTTCTACGGTGGTATGTAACACAGAAGGCGTGATAAGAAAGATATGCAATATACTTAGAACCTGAAATGTACTTCACTGTAAACTGGCCAGGGTGCATTCTGTCAGAAGCCATCTTTCGATCCTAGAACAGTTCTTTAATTTAGGTGTGAAAAAGCACTTTTAGATTCTTGGGGTCAGTCATTAGTTCAAACTTAGTATCGTGCAAATAGGTAAGAAATCGTTCGAAGGCTCTTACAAGCACCAAGGCCTCTTTCTCTGAATTTAAGCCCGCTCCCAATGTATAGCTCTTCATTGCTTAGTTACTGGTAGAGCACTGCAACACTAATGGAAGGCCATGGGTTCGAATCCCGTTGAAGCCCCGAAATTGTTTTGGGTAAACTGGCACTCGCTTAAATTGCTATTAGAACTGGGACGATCAAATCTTCATTTAAATTTGTATTTCCGCAGTTCACATCATCTTCATTGTATAAATTTGTGATCTCGACAACCGCCATCTGTACCTTCCGCATAACACTTTTATAGTATCATTCCATCAATGAATGATTTTATCTTCACTTTACAACAAACCGAAAGTCTGTAAAATCCTGTAGTTTCTTCTGTATCCTGCTTGCTGGCACCCTTTGAGGGGTCATACTTATCGGTAGTTGAAACAAAATGAAATTAATATCGCATCACAACTTTTTTTTTGTAGGTTGACTTTGGTGTCATTTAAATTACTAACCACACCAGTGAGTATAAACGTCCTTTTAGTACTGGTAAATTTCAGTTATAAACTAACTCCAGTTCATAATCCTTGACCTGATGTTTAGTTGTTCTTCATTTTCATCTACATCTAGAGCCCGGAATTTAATTTTTCTCTTTAGGCATGTACCATTCACACGTTCTAGCCCACCTTGTCTAACTCTACTCATGAAGCACGTGGTCTCTCTTCAGTACTCATCGACTGGAGAGGCAGATTTTTCTCACTTTCTTTATCTCTAGATTCCAAATAAATATTTGGTTAATTCAGTTTCAATTCATGTAAATAACGCTAAACCCGATTAAAAAGCTCCGAAATCAAGACAAATCCAGCTGAAGTAATTATCGAAAGTGAACTATCACCACTATAAACTTACCGCATTTTCCTCACTTGCTTTAGATTCTGCCTGAAGTTTCACATCTGAATGAAGTTTGGTTAATTTGAAGACACTACCATAATATGTATTTTTGAAGAGTTGATTGAAACCATGTTTCACGTGTTGATCCGAAAGACCATAAATGCTGTTTGGAAATCCACGGTTAATTTCCTTAGGAAAAGCGTTAAGACCACAGATATTACTATTTTAAAAAAGGATAAACACCTAGTGTAGACAACTGTAGTTGAAAAGGTCTGAATTTAATTTTTTAGTTCGATTTTTTGATATTCTGAAAAGCGCGTAATTTCACGTTTGAATCCAGTACAATGAAATTTGAATCTTTAGGTCGAGACGGTTTTTGTTTGCTTGCATTCATTAAAAAGAATATTTTCAAAAACTAACCCAATTTCATTTTATTAAACACCTTACTAGGCTTACTGAACAAACAAAAAAAAGGAAGGCTATTATTGACGGTGACCGCGATTTTTCCTATTTTAATTTCTTTGATTTTTACAAACATTCACTATTTATTTGTTGAATGTTTTAATTTTATTTCTTTTTTTACCTTCACAGGTTCGGAAGCTGGTGGTCCACAGTTTTCAGAAGTATGTACCGGAACAGGACTTTACAATAAGGGATCAATTTATTTTTGCTTTCATATGGTGTTGGGGACTAAGAGAAGTCTATGAGACCGGGTTGGTCAAGGATACATTTCTCACTACTAAAAAATCATCACTGAAAAAAGCTAAATAGGCGACCGGTAGCTCTTAATTTGTCAAACCGAAGGAATTTGGAGTAGAAATTGATTGCACTCTAACGAATGAAAGCGCTCGAAGCGTTATTTTCAAGTAACAGCTGTTAACATTAAACGTTTGCCTATTAACTTAATCAACCAGTATCACAGTTTTATCAATAAAGATATGAATTATATTAGCCACCAGCCTTCTATTGTCTTGATGAAACTAAATAGTTCAAAGAACTCCGTACTGTAAACAAGAAGCCCCGTCCCAAAACAGATTGAGAGTTTCGCACGTTTTCAAACTCTCCACGTCATAGTGCTAATGTCTTGATACGATTCCTAAAAAGTCTAAAACTATAAACACTTTTAAAAAACACTTGTCAGCAGTCAGATCGACGCGGCTGTGAAAGAATTCTCCGACAGTTACCCAAACCCAACATCTCAAAATCTAGTTGACATGAGAAAGAAGATAAATTATATTTTAGCAAGTAAGTTTAGAGAGTTGCCCTCTAGCCCTAGTTATTCCTGTAACGTTCGTTCAACTTAAACTGTCTGCTAAAATCTTTTGGGTCCAGACATAGTGAATTTATTCTTCAGGGCTTTAATGCAAGTACCGTTTTGTATATCCTAGAAGACTGCCTGTATTTATGAACTTCACTTTTATGAAAGTTCCAGAGTAGTATGACTCATATATCACTCTGACCCTTAATTCTCTCTTAACTAAAGTACGACAAAAACGTACCTGACTGGAGCTTACCACCTATAGCGCGACCAATAGCGCGAAGATACATTCATTAGCGCGAAAAAGCGAACATTTGCGCAAAAATAAGATTCAATAACGATTTTTGCATTTTAATCAACATTCAATAACACTTTTGGGCATTCATATGGGTCATTGGGCATACAAAAGAGAAAAATATACTTTCATTAACGCCAACATCAAAGTCATTAACACCATCTTGAAAGTCAATAGAGACAACTGACATACATTAAAGTGCAAGCCCTGTTCATTAACATTTTTATGACACTGTTTACAATTCAATAGCATTCCTGGACAACCTTAGGATGGATAAGACAAACATTAATGCGCTTGTACAATCAATTGAGTGTTCTTTACATTTAATATGCAAAAAACGATTTTCAATTAAACAATAGAAATTCCCCCCAAAATTGGCCCGAATTTCACTCCGTTAAATGTATATCCCTCAAAAACCTCGCTATTCAAACATTTTGGGAGGTAGGTTTGTATGAAATGGTACCCCTTCGCACATTTAGTCCGGAAATTTAAAGATGTATAACAGGAATGAGGGTAAATTCCTAGCAATCCCGCTAGCGGAATTCGGAAACAACAACTGCAGGGCTTGAATCTCTGCGCAGAAACATGACATTGTGACCGCAGCTAAATGTGCTAAGGGGTACCATTTTATACAAACCTACCTCCCAAAATGTTTGAATAGCGAGGTTTTTGAGGGATATACATTTAAAGGAGTGAAATTCGGGCCAAATTTGTTTGAATTTCTATTGTTTAATTGAAAATCGTTTTTTGCATATTAAATGTAAAGAACACTCAATTGATTGTACAAGCGCATTAATGTTTGTCTTATCCATCCTAAGGTTGTCCAGGAATGTTATTGAATAGTAAACAGTGTCATAAAAATGTTAATGAACAGGGCTTGCACTTTAATGTATGTCAGTTGTCCCTATTGACTTTCAAGATGGTGTTAATGACTTTGATGTTGGCCTTAATGAAAGTATATTTTTCTCTTTTGTATGTCGAATGACGCAAATGAATGTCCAAAAATGTTATTGAATGTTGATTAAAATGCAAAAATCGTTATTGAATCTGATTTATGCGCAAATGTTCGCTTTTTCGCGCTAATGAATGTATCGTCGCGCTGTTGGTCGACGATTCACGCAAATGATTGCGTATTTTCTCGTAATGAACAGCAAAAGGTGTAAATCCTTTTCAACGATATCCAGGGGGAAAGCATAAGCTGTGTATGTGGGGCGGGAATGGCCAAATCTAGGTGGGCTGGCACCCCGTCATACGCAAAGACCACCGATTTATCGGGATCCATTATTTCCTCGCCCGTGCCAGAAAAAAAAACCGACACAGTATTCATCACTCTCCAGCAGATGCCGAGGAAAACATTGATAGGTGATATTGCCAGGGTCATAGTCAAGTTTCGTCCTCTTTGGCCGCACACTTAGCGGTACGCCCTCCACTCCCTGTCGCGCCCCACCATGACTTCTGGCCGTCTAAGGAAAATGTATACCCGCAGCTGTCGACGAACAAGCAGTGGCGAAGTACGGCGTGATTCTTTAAACAAATTCAGGCCAATTTTGGGGGGAATTGGTATTGTTTAATTGAAAATAGATTTTTGTATATTAAATGTAAAGAACGCTCAATTGATTGTACATGCGCATTAATGTTTGTCTTACCCATTCTAAAGCTGTCCAGGAACGCTATTGAATTGCAAAGAATGTCATAAAAATGTTAATGACTAGCGTTTGCACTTAAATGTTTGTCTATTGTCCCTAATGATTTTCAAGGTAATTTAATGGCGTTAATGAAAACATATTTTTCTCTTTTGTATGGCGAATGACGTAAATGAATGCCCAAAAATGTTATTGAATGTTGATTAAAATGCAAAAATCGTTATTGAATCTGATTTATGCGCAAAAGTTCGCTTTTTCGCGCTAATGAATGTATCTTCGCGCTGTTGGTCGACAATTCACGCAAATGAATGCGTATTTTCTCGTAATGAACAGCAAAAGGTGTACTAAAACAGTGGATAGCGTTTTTTCACGCACTCTGATTGGCTATTCAATCAAACTCATTTTTTTTTAAGTGAATTTCCCGGTCACTGACCTCAGCAAAGACGGCCTACCACGGGTAAAAGTGTTTATACCCGATAGCATGCCTCATGCCACAGTCCAATATGATAAGGAGACTATGGTTGTCCATGTGAAAGATCCCTCGTTTGGTTGGGTGGCCCGTATTGAGGTCGTTCGTGATACCCCCTATGCACCCCAAGTTATTCAGCTCAAAAACAATAGAGAAACTCGTCTTGGCCACACGGAACTGGAATAGAAAAAGAACATTTGGAACACGAATTGCTGGTGTGAAATGTGGCGCCACATCTGAATATTTACACCTTCAGTTGCCACAAAGAGAATGACTGATAAAATCGGTCCTTAACTTAATCTTGGCCTTAACAGCTTTTGGGCGTATTAAAAAATATTTAATGTCACTTTGCTGTGATAATATGCTTTTCTTTAAGTGCTCCGGGATCTTCTAAAAAAATTCCTCTCACTAGTGATACACTTTGCCTGAATGTGCATAACTTGACAAAATAGCTCTTAATCTTTAACTAAAACATGTTTTTTTCAGTACTGGATATGTAAAGCAGTTCGCCTTTTTGCTAAGGCTTCAGCAAAGCTTTTGACTCTGTGAAACATGAACTTCTTGCTAAAACATTAAAAAAGTTCACACTGAATCTATATAAATTACCGATTGGTACTTGAACTTTTTAAAGGATGGAAATCAAAGGGTATGTTGCAACAACTTTGATTGCGACTGGAAACCGGTTAACAAAGGGACAACTCAAGGTAGCGTTAGCGGTCCTTACCTTTTTAACATCTTTCTCAAATGATCTTAACATCACTTAACATCATGACCCGCTATTTAAGTACGCTGATGATTCGACAATTATTGCTCCTGTATGGAAGGAGGTAGACTACTCCGATCAGTTAGTGTCACAGTCTTTAGATCGGACGAATACAAATTGAATGTCTTGCAATCCATGCAAATGTAAAGGGTTGACGATCAAAAAGAGAGGCAACCGCGATCTCTGTTCACCTATTGGGATGATACCAAGCTGTAAAGAAGTTAGAGATTTTGGGCGTCACCTTCCAATGTGACAGCAAATCAGTTTCAGTACACGCGAAGAACAAACTTATTAAAGCTACCAAATCCCTACATATCCTTAGAACGCTGCGCAAAGGGATACAATCAGGCAGAAATAGACCTTCTCTTTAATACAATAGTTCTACCAAATATTAATTACGCATTATCTGTCTACGCCACGTCCGAGTCCGATCTTACACCTGTACAATGTTTCTTAGACCGCTGTTTTAAAAGGAAATATACGTCTAAACCTGTAAGTGTTTATGATTTCTTAGAGAGGCAAGACCGTCAAATTTTCAGAAAAGTGCTAATGCTAAAGGACATCCGCTTTTATCTATAATGCATCTTGTTAAACCGTCCAGTTACAATCTTAGGAAAGAAACTTGTTTTAAACCTAAGATTAACACTATGCGTTTTAAAAATTCTTCTATAAATCGTTTAGTTTTTAAATATGAATTAGGTATGTAATATACTAATGTTTATTTTTTTTTTTAAATTCTTACTTTTTACCTTTTTAAAATTTCTTTCACTTACATGTAACAAAAGATATGTATTTTTATCATTTGATAAATAGACTTTATTATTATAATTATTATAATTTTAGGGCTGACTTAGGTGCCATATTGGAGAATTTTCTGATGATTTTGAGGCATTTATTCGTGCATTTTGCTTTCTTAATTCAGGATTAGTGAAATAAAGACGACCAGTTTTTCCTGATTACAGTAAGAAGAAGTAATATGCTTTCCAAAGAATGCAAATAGTCTAGGATTTGATGACCCGAAGTACTTTTAAACAATCGTTAAAAAACCTGTATAACAGAGACTAAAATTTGCATATTTTAGCCGTTAACGGTCGTCCAGCAATGAAATGCTGGCAATAGCAGTGAAATAAACAATTTCCTCACTCTACCTGCAATTTCGTTTTTAGGATGGATAGTAGTATTGATGGTACAAATATAACGCATAAGTTTAATTGACGAGTCCGAAATCGAGTAAAACGCTTTTAGGGAGACTGCCTCTTAACAGTTCACGAAACCGCTTTTTATTTTTTAGTTTTGTTTTCCGCAACAGTTATTTTACTCGACTGAGTGGAATTCGATGTCTGAAACCAAGTCATGCTACAGTCATGTTAGAGTCGTGCTCAGAAGTCGAGCCAGCATAGAACAGCAGTAGGACGACGTTTGAAACAGGCCTTACGCTACACCCTTGAAATATTTATAACAGTTTCAAACCTACCACATTTTACTTTCCTTACAAACAAAAATGACAATTCCAATTCAACCTTT